ATTCTTCTGAAATAATAATATAAAACTGAGTTTTTTCCATCTCATTGCATTTATATTTATACACTATGAGTACTTCTTGGCTATTTAAATAAATTTAAAATTACCCATAGAAAATAAATGGTGAACCATGTGCAATTCATCTACTACCAAAGCCGGTATTGCATATAAACAGCATATTCAAGATTTGAAAGAAAATATAATTCAATACTCATATTAATGCTATCAACACAGGAAAAGTAAAAGAGAAATTTAAAGTAAAGAAACCCAGAATCTAACTTTTACATTCTCAATTTTGACATGTAATTTTTCAAGCCTTACAATCCTCTAAAATAGCTATTTATATTCTATTTTCTTCCTAAATTTAACTATGCGTTTTCCCATATGAGACTCAGAAAGCTGACCTACAAAACAAAAAGAAATTCCAGGGAAATGACAGAGGTCCAGGATGCACTAGGCTATTATTCAAGCTGAAAATAAGTTGGTTTTCTTTATGAATAGACTCTGTTTTTAAATATAATATGTGCCAGGATCTGCCTGCTCTCTTGTATTGTGCATGCCACAATGTCCCCTAGACTATAAGAGTTGAACTGCTTTTGAGATTCACTGGAAAGCAAAAAAGCCCCTTCTCATGCTCTCAATCTTACATCTGATTTCTTAATTCAGCTATGCTGGGGTCTTGGATGCGCTAAATGAAAATTCTTTCTTATATGAGAAAGTAAGGTCTTCCCCACACAAGCTTCAAAAATTGGAGTTTGAACATGTCTCTGTACCCTCTCTCTGAGGGTTGAATCCCAGTCCCATCCTGAGATCCCGCTGCCTAGGGTAAATGTCCTTATGCATGCATTGTGATGGCCAGCTGGCCTTTCTGATGGCATCCTGCCATTCACTCTTGGACTCCTTGCACTGAGTTTCAGCTGTCCCTCTAGAGCCTAAGATTAGTCCTCAGAATTCTGTCACCAACGCCCACTATTCTGCACTACCTCTTATTGCCAGAACTCTGTCATATTGGGGTGGGGGGTGGGGGCAAACAGTGAAGATTAAGACATCTTCCCATTTCAGCTTCCAGAAATGATTTATTAAAAACTTATTTCCCCTATAAAAACACTTAACCATAATTTTCTCATGTCCCTGATATCTATCCCAGACCTTCCAAGCATCAGTTTTGTGCATCTTATATGTGCAACTGATGAATCATTGAAAAAAATAATGCTTATTAACAAGACTTTGTTTCAGCAATCCTCTCCTCCCCTCTGGCCTCCAACCTGGCCCCACCTTCATACATAGCCCACTCTTGGTTACTTTGAAGAATAAGCTGATTGTGTGAAAAACACTCTCCAGTCTTTGGTCAGATAAAATCATGTTCCCTTAATTTTCTAAGACTACTTGATCCCAGTCTTACTTTCTTCACTACTAAAGAATAGCCCTGTTGATGATGCTTGGACATGGGCAGGTCTCCTGGTGAGTAAGATTTCCTTGCTGTCTTACTACATATTACAATAGTCCTTTTGCTTTCTCTTGTAGTAATACATCCTTCTGGTAGTCTGTCCTTGAAGTCACCTTTGTTTTTTGTTTAACACCAGTTAGCAAACTTGACTACAAACCTCAAGAGGCTGGGCTCCTTGAACATACAGTAGCTCTTAACTCCTGCCTTCATTAATTGCACCTAAATGTTTTACATGAAGCTTCCCGACTATGCCGAGAAATTGCTCAGCAGACCAATTTCAAAGTAAAGAATAATCTTTAGAATCTTCATATTATAGTTATTGGCATTCAGTTCATAATCTTTTACTAGTCAAAAAATAGAAAGTAACACTATACTTCGGATTTTTTTTTCAGAATATTCATCCAAGATGCCCTGGTCTTATTACCTCAAAATTTCATCATCTCATGCATTTGGAATGAGAGGATTAAGAATTGAAAGTAAAGTGGCAGATACTCAAAGCAAGGAAAGAAATAGTGTGAAAAAAATGAGTCTCATTGCTTGTGAGAAGTGCTTGATCACTAGCTACGCATGAGCCACACCCATAAAAGCTCACCAACATGACTGCCCAAATGAGAGCTGAACAGAGATAACACTAAATGACATGCAAGAGTGGATGGGGAAAAGCCCACAAGGCCTCAATCCTATACAAGGAACTATAGACATATAAGGAGAGCTGGGAATAGAAGAAGTAGTCATCCCCATGGAAAAGCACAATTGGTTGCCCAATGACAAATTGTCAGTCCTGAAAACATCCATATAAATAACCTTATATGGACTGAACACGCAATATTCAAGAATATGTAAATATATACATCTAAATATATGAGTGAAAGAACAATTAATGAAAAAAGAGATCATAAATTTGAAAAGAATAGAGAAGGGTATATGGGAGGGTTTGGAGGTAGGAAAAAGAAGACAAATATGATCTCAAAAATTAAAAAAAAATATTTGTATCATTCAAACAAAGATGTAAAGGCTTTGAGACTACAATTTTTGCCTCAGATAAGTTCAGATATATTTCTTTTAAAAAAAATCACAGTTCTCCCTAAAATTCCTTTGTAAAAAAACATTAGTGCAACTCTCTTTTCAGGAAGTTGCTAGGCTTCAGATGGCGTAGAAAACACCTGGGAAGCAGCCAGTATCTTTTTGCTACACATCCTCTGTTGGGCTTGTCTTGCAAAGTCAAATAAATATATTTGCAAATATGCATGCATACATATACATATGCATATAGTTAGTAATCTTGGTATCTTAAAAATGATATTGATGATGTATCCAGCACATCTAAGTAGGCCAAAGGCAAGAATTGTTCTTGCCTCTCTACCCATCATGAGGCATCACTTTCTGATTGACTTTGGTGTGGCCTGAAATGATAATGGAACTCCTGAAGGAAAATGTGAATCTTCTCCCATCCCGACCCTTCTTGCCTTAAGGTTCCTGGCAGGCTGAGTAGACTGAGCCTGCTGCAGGCAGAGGAGATGCTGAAATGGTTGTGCACTATTTTTCAACATAAAAGCACCAGTTTAGGAGCTGGAGAGATACCTAATGAGTAAAGTGCTTGCTGCACAATCAAATCTACTTGAATTATGATGCCCAGCACCTATGAAAAGCTGTGAGCAAAGGCAAGCACCTATGAATCCCAGTGCTGAGGGCAGAGGCAGGGAGAGTTCAGGAGCACATAATGGGAGCATTTTGAACCAGCCACACAAATGACAACTACCCAACTTACAGCAGGAAGACACTTCCTGTATGATACTCCAGGGAGCTAAAGTGAACTCTGATAAACAGATTGGGAAAAGTTCCTCATCTCAGCAGGCTGACATTTCTTTTGTGAAAGAAAGAGTTCACTTCTGTTAAATTATTGCTGGTTAATTTGTTTAAATTCCTTTCAATGTTGGTTAGTTTAAAAATAAATGACATAATGTGCTATGTCAATCCTGTGGAAAATATTTTCTATAACTGTCAAATGGTGTAAATAATTGTAAACACTAGAAGCAGTGATTATATATCAAAAGTATTCACACTGCCTAAAAATCACATTTTTTAGGTTTTTTGAACTTTCATAACTTATCTCTATAGGAAAGATCTAAATGACAAAAATCATTAGTAAATATATCATGATGAAGATAGTTTTACTAATTAGTATTTCTCAACATCTTTCCATCTGTTTTACAATTGTTTTTTGAGAGTTCTGTGCCAATCATAGTAAGGTTTTCAAAAATGAATGAAACAAGATGTTTGCAATTTCCAATTCTTACTTAAAATAAGATATGTATACATAGTAAATGTCAAAATTCACATTCAAATGTATGAAAATTGGTCAGTAATAAATACTAACCAGCTTTGGAGTTATTATAAATAATGCCTTAGGAAGTGCCAGATCCAACTCATAAGTATGACCATATATTATTCATATGATTCACGTCTAAATAGAGTAAACTAGACATGTTTTAGGTCTCTTTGTTTTTTGTTTGGTTTGGTTTTGTTGTTTTGTTTTCTTTTGTTTTTTCAACATTTTAGCTAAACATCAATTAACTCTACATTTCTGTAAGATTGTCAATTATATTAGCATTGTACTCCTTTAATATTTATGGATTTCTACATTTATATGAAAAGAACCTTTAAAGGGAGCAAAATTTTCATCAATGGAATGTTCCTTTCTCATTAAAACACTGTTACTGGAAACTGACTGGAGCCAGCTCCGTCCATCATATACATCACCAAGGGACAAACGCTTACATTGTCTTATGGAGTCAGCTATGAGCCTGGCACTGAAAATGCCTAAAATCGTTTTCAATTGAACCAAGTTTTGAAAAGGCAAAGATTCGTTCACTCTGAAAGAACTCTTAGCGCTTCATCTTTCCAAATTTTAATCTGTCCTGTTTTATGACAAGACATTAGCTAATACCCTTTTATGATATGAATGCCTTGATGTTAATTACCAAGCAACTCTTTCATTTGTAATAAAGCTAAGCAATTTAACACCTTCCATTCACTTCCTAGAACAAATGCATAACCATAATTCTTTCAGTGCATTGGTGGAAGTACATAAAAGCCCCTGGAAATTGTTCATTTTGCTTACATGTAGCTGTTAGCCTCACTAATTATAAGTCATTGTTTTGCTATTTTTTTCCATACAACCTTTTTCAACATTGCAATTGATTTAGCAAGAACTATACACACTTGGGAGTAGCTGAAGAAGGAAAGAGACACAACAGTAATTGGAAGGCATGCTATATGTCTGCTCATTCCTCAGACGCACTACATCATCCCTTTACTTTTATGTGGGTAATGTCTGTCATTCTGTGTTCATTGTACCTTGTTGCTCAAGAAGATATTCATTGGCCCCTTGAGGTGGTTTGAAAGAAAATGGCCTCCAAAGAGAGTGGTACTATTAGGAGATATGGCCTTATTGGAGTAGGTAAGGCCTTGTTGGAGGAAGTGTGTCTCTGTGGGGGTGAGCTTTTAGGCTCTTATGCTTAACCTATTATTACATATTATTTCCTGTTTCCTACAGATCAAGATTTAGAACTCTGAGCTACTTCTCTAGCACCGTGTCTGCCTGTGTACCACCTGCCATGATAACAGCCTAAATCTCTGAACTGTAAGCCACCCTAATTAAATATTTTCCTTTGTAAGGGTTGCAGTGTTTGTGGTATCTCTTCAAACAATAGAAACCCTCAGACACTCCCTATCTCCTCTTCTCCCAAGTCTTTCTGTCCTCAGGACCTGGATGCTATAATTTGAATGTCACTACCAAACTTCTAAATTTAATTTATGAGATGAAATAAGTTGTAAATTTTAAGAAGTAAAGAAGTCATATGATTTCTGCCTTTGTGAACTGATTTACATTCACCCATGCATTAAAGGGCTTATGAGTTAATGGTTTGTCTCCAAAGCTCTACACTATACTCTAGTTTAGCATTGACTCTTATATGCATATCTCTTGCTTTGTGATGCCCTGTGTCATCTCAGATCTCTAAAGAGATCCCTCTAGCAAGAAGAGCTTCATCATGTTGACCTCTCAGTCTTGAACTATGAGTTGAACAACTGGCATCAATAACAAATGACATCTTGGTTAGGGATGGAATTTTGTGCCTATTTATCCATGTTAGGATCTTGTCTGATCTGAACTCGTGCAATCTTACATATGCTGTCACAGTCTCTATGAGTTCACATATGTGGCAACCCTCTTGTGTTTGAAAGATTTTAATTTCTTGGTGCCATCTAACACATCTGGCTATTATAACATTTGTGCAAGTTCCCTGAGCCCTGAGGGAGGAGTTGGATGGAATCATCCCATTTAATGTTGAGTGCTCCCAAGTTCCTCATTCTCTGTACATTGTCCAGTTGTGGGTCTCTGTCTTAACTACTACCTACTGCAAACTCTGCTGGGGTTTGAGTGATGAACTGATGTATGGGTATAACAGTGAACCATTAGGAGTCCTTTATTCCTATGTACCTTTACCAGAATAATAATGGTAGGTTTTCTACTAGGGCCCATGACCCATCTAATCTCAGGTCACTGACCAGTTTAACAATGTCAGGTATGGGTTTCAACTCACAGAATGAACCTTAAATCTAATCAGAAAGTTTGGGGATACTTCCAAATCTTTTGTGCCACAATTGCTCTAGTATATCTTTCAGGCAAGTGGCTGTTTCAAGTCACAATAGCTGGGTGATATTAATATTACTGAACTTGTCTGGTAGCATTACCTCACCATGAATGCTAGCCAGCATGGGTGAAGCTTCTAATTGGATATCAGCTTAATCTCTTCATGATCAATGGCATTATCAACAATAGACCATTACAGACAGGTTATAGAGGGTAACCAATAGCCTCGACAATAGCTTGGAATGTTTGGGCAAAAGGCCATCCACAGCACTCCTTTGGCCAATGACTAAATGATATATAATCCATTCATGGCAATGGAAAGATTAGTTGGTGCCATAAATTGTCCAATTGGAAAGTTGCCTCTCCCCATTACATGGTGACTTCAAGAAAAAATGAAATTACAAAATTTGTAGGCCAATAGATAGAGTTAGAAGCAGTCATCTCAACTGAGGCATCGCAGACTCAAAAGGGCAAATATTGTATCTTTTCTCTTATATCAAAACAGCTAAAAGTAAACATAGAATGTGACCTAGATCTATCACTCCTGGGAATATTACCTAAGGACTAGATAGACATCCTGCTCTACAGATACTTGTTCAGCAATGCTTGTAGCTGCCCTACTCACAATAGCCAGGAAATAGAAACAACCTATATGCCCTTAAATAGATGAATGGATAATGAAAATGTGGCAAATATACACAATGGAATATTATTCATCAAAAAAGAAAAAGGAAATCATGACATTTGCAGGTAAGTGAAAGGACTTAGAAAAGATTTTATTAAGTAACTCAAAGGACAAAAGCTTCGTGTTGTCTCTCATCTGTAGTTACTAGCTTCAAATCCTCAGGTGTGATTGTATAACCTGAGGGAACTACAGACATGAGGAAAGTATAAAGGGACCATGGGTTGGGGGTTGGGGCTGGGGGGGGTGACAAGAGGACATTGATAACATGAAGTGGAAAGAAGAAGAATAAGGAAGGGCGTCCAATTATGGAAGAGAGAGAGAGGTCAATAGATAGTGAGGTACAAATAGCACCAAGGTTATGCAGTAAATCTTAAAGAAACCATATTATATTCTGTTCACCTAAAATTATACATAAAACATGTAAGTGAATAGATAGAAAGACAGACACATTAATAGATGTTTTAAAGGAAGTTAAGACATTTGGGCTGGCAATTCTCCCCACAAGAACCATAGACTTAAAAAAAAACTATCAGGCACTAGAATCATACTTTTGAAGATAGTCCTTGCTTACCTCTCAGGATTTGAGGGTGGGATTATATTGCTGAAGACAACACATACTTAGGACACAGGATTCAGATGACTCAAGCAGGATCTAATTTGAAAACCTCTTTCCTGCAGTCTAGCTTTCATGGTTCCACAAAATATGCAAGGGGCTGAGGTAGGGAAGCTGTTAAATAGTCCTACCCAGCTATAACAGCTATAAATGACAATAATTTATATCATGCCAAGATTAAATATATATACACACACATATAATCTTTAACATATATATGAAATATTTACATATATACAAAATCTTAGTGCACACATAAATATTATATGTATATATATATGAATGAAGTGGTATTTATGTATCAGTGGCAACCCATAGCTGTCTAATTGTGCTTAGAACCCACTCAACAGGAGAAAAATGTCTTATACTGAAAACTTAGCCAGCTTCCTGCATCTAGAAAGATCATGGGCCTTAGAAAAGAATCTACTGATGTCACTTTACTAGACCTGCATAATTCTTTATCACCTTCTAAATCTTATCCTTATACTCATAAAAAAAAAAGTATAGCTACCACCCTCTCATCAAAGAAGCTTCTCTATGCAGCAAATGAAGGCAATCATGGAGAATTACAACTGGACACAATGCAGAGATCAGTGGATCATGGGGATCTAAACCCCAATGAATACATCTGTATCACAGAGCCTTCATTTTTTGCTCAGGGAATATCCTGTAAGAGGGGGCATAAAGATTTTGGGAGCCAGGCTACCAGGAAGTGTGTTGTGCGATATTCTCTCCTTAAAATGGGTGCAAAAACAAGAACAACATCTACAGATATGTTAATGTGGAAGGGGAAATGTTTCACTGGGTCCCACCACTAGACAAAGAACTATGGGTCACTATTGATTGCTGGGAGGAGAATTAGTCTCTCCCAAGTGTGAGACCCCTGATTGGTTATCTAATGCAGAGTTCCAGAGGATTCAGCCTTGAAACCATATACACACAAACAACAAAAGCAGATTCAACATCACTAATATGTAATATATATTTTCTATTATATAATATATATCATATATTATGTAATAATATGTATATATAAATTTCTGTGTGTATCTGTATAACAAATATGATTTTATAAAAAAGATGCTATCAACTTGAGAGTCAAGGGATGTAGAAAAAGAGAGGTTTGAGGGAGGTTAACTGACAGGAGCTAGCGAGAAGAAAAGGAAAAGAGGAAGTGATGCAATTTCATTTCAATTGAAAACATTTAAAAATTAAGTTTAAAAATATAGCAGTGGTGTGAAATCCCTCCCTAGTCTCCTCTTCCTACTTGTTGTCTTTTCTTGCTGAGCTGCTGTCATCCTCATGTATTTTTAAGCAGTCTTCTTTGCAGGCTGGTCTTGTCCTAAATATTGTCAGATCTATAAGCAGAGTTTCACTCATGAGAGAAAAAAACAAAACAAAACAAAAACAACAACAAAACATTAGCCACCTTACCACACAGAAGGATGTCTTCTATGCTTTATTTTCACTCATGAGTTAAATGTAACCATAGAAAAACAAAATCCCAGCCTTTATGACAAACTAAGACAAGACAGACCATATCCAAAGGATTAGCAGCTGAGTTTGTATTATCTCTGAGCAGGAAAGGGACTTGGTTGAACTCTTAATTACAAATTTGGGGGGAGGGTATTAATATCAACATTTGGAAAAAGTTAATAATTTTCCCTTTGTAACTTTCCAGAAAAATCTATTTTTAGTAAGCTTAGACTGAGACATCTATTCTAAGCCTCTGTTATTTAGCACTATCAATGAAAATAAAACCAATCTAGGAAATTAATATTAAGCATATTAGATTTGCCAGCCTTATCTTTTAAGTATGTGCTGATTAACATTTACAATATACTTGATTAAGGCAGATGACTGAGTCCAATTAATTTTGTATTTTGCCTTTGTAAGGATATTTCATAAATATTTTAGCATCCTTTTTAATCAAGCCTTATTATCTGCCTTTACGCTGCTTTTCCATTTATAGTAAGATGAAAAACAGAAAGTCATCCTGGCATTAGCTGAGACAGTTTTTGGGTGATGTCATCGCACAGTCTTACCTGAGGCATTGAAAGTGGCAGTGTACTGTCAATATTGCATACAGGGTTTATTTTGTAACTTTGAATAATTGATTTTAAACCCTTAGACATAAATTTAATTATAGCTGTGCATTTCTGAATAACAGAGATATTGTGAGAAGTATGTCATTAGGCAATTTTATCTTTTATGAGCATCATTGAGAGTACTTACAAAAGTTGGCTAAGATACCATTAAGTGCATATCTGACTACACCATAAAAACAACATGAGGCCCATGATTTAAGAATATTTTTTTGTGTCTCACATGACCTACATTGTCATTGAACTCCCAGAGAATCCAATTTGAAGTATGTGCCAAAGCCATGTCCATGAACAATCACTACCTCTATCAGATGGCCTTTACAAACATCAATAACAGGTTTCCATATGCTATTAAAATAAGTTTATTTTTTTATTTTCAGAATATAATTTGTTCAATTTTAAGATATTACTTGTAACAAAAACATACAGTGGCTATATAATATAAATGATAATATTCTTAATGCAGCATATTCCTCTTGGGACATATGTGTATCACTTAAGGAGTTATAGCTAATTTTACAGCAGATTAGTAAAGTTACTTGAAGTTAATTTCAAAGTTTCTCAAGCTATTTTCTATGAAATATTTGGTCTGGACAAAGTTGTATGGATGGTGCTTCAGAAATGATATTCTCAGCAAACAAATCCAGGAAAATTACAGAAGCAGATGGCTATATCATAACTTTTAACTTATAA